AACTATATAAGTCTACATTAGGTTTGTAAATCTATATAAAAATTTTATATAACATTTATATAACTTTATAGAACTACGCAAGTTTTATAAAAAAATGTACTTGCTGATGTCTATTTCAAATTTATTTGGAATTAAGAAAAATGTAAATGAACTAAAGTATGATTTTTATAAAGAGCATTTGTGAATATTTTTCCAATTTCAGTGCCAAGTTGATTATTATAAAGATTTAAAGATGTCAGAGTAGTATTCTGACAAAGGGCATCCGCAAATGCTATTCCACCCTCAAACCCAAGTTGATTACTCCAAAGACTTAAGTAAGTTAAAGTACTATTTTTATAAAGAGCCTTTGCTAGTTCTTTTCCACCTTCAGTATTGAGTTGATTATTACAAAGAATCAAATGGGTCAAAGTAGTATTTACACGAAGAACAGCACCTAGTGCTTTTCCCACTTCAGAGTCAAAATTATTATTTGAAAGATACAAATGCGTTAAAGTAGTGTTATGATAAAGAGCATCGGCTAGTGCTTTCCCACCTTCAGAATAAAGATGATTACTTGAAAGACGTAAGTGAGTTAAAGTAGTATTCTTACTAAGAACCTCAGCGAACGCTTTTCCACCAACAGAATAAAGCTGATTATTATGAAGATTTAAGAAGGTTAGAGTATTGCTTTTACAAAGAGCATCAGCTAATAGCTTTCCACCTTCAATACCAAGTATAGTACTATTAATACTTAAGGAGGTTAAAGTATTGTTCTTATGAAGAACCTTTGTTAGAGCTTTAACTTCATCGTAATTGAATTCATTATTAATAATTTTTAGAGAAATCAGAGTTAAACTTTTGTCAAGAACTTTTGGTAATAGATTTATAATTTTTCCAGAAATACTTAAATCCTTAAGCCTTCTACTAGTTCGTAAAAGCATTATAGTTAAAGAATATTTAATTGCTTGAGTAACATTCCTAAATCTTACACAATAAGAACAATGATTTAGATCACAAGAGTCATGATCTTTATGGTTAAGCCAATCTATGATTCCATGATCTGAATCAACTCTGATAATAGTAGTATAAGTAGTGTATTCAAATAACGGTTTTGAATCATTTGGAAGAATTACATCAAATGGTGTTAATAACGCTTGTTCTTCAGCGTTTAACATTAAAAGACAAGTTCTTATGAGTTTTTTATTTTTAAAAACGTCAAGTTCACCCCATAATAGCGGTATGACATTTCTACACCATTGACGGTTTACAAGAAGACAAGAAAATAAACTTGTATGATGACAATTTATAAATATTTCGAAAAGGCTTTCGTTTGGTAATGTTATCATTTTTTAAGGAGTTTAAGAAATGTTATCTGCGTATTGCATAATTTATAACATTTTCGGAGTTGATAGACAAATTGTGTGATACATACGTACCATTCATTATGCTACAATTACGTAAATGTGATTTTATTTTATAAGTACAGGAGCATAGTACATATATAAATACATGTAAAACCAGTATGTGAAAAAATTCAAATTAGCTCGCTCAAGTTGTATTCGTAGTCTCGCTTGTTAGCACTTTATACGGTATATGGGTCTTATTCAAGAACTCATTTTTAAATTGAATAGACCAGGTACTATTCAATTTCGAGACACTTGAAGAACAAGGAACCCAGTGATTATCACATCACGTGAAATAATACAGTTACGTCATTTGTTTACTAACACTAAACAAATTAGCCTAAACTAACTTATCACCTAACCCCAACACTAACCCTAACGTAGGCCGAACACTTAATCAAGTGATGTGATTATCATGAAGATATCACTGGGTTCCTTGATCTTCAATCTTCCCTCAATTTCATAAGTGAAGGAGGTACTTATGTGGTAGGATATTAATTTCGGGGATACTATATACAGTATTACGGTGGATTCAAACATAACATGTAAGTACTTTCTCTTTACGTTTCGTTCTTCTTTTCACAAGTCAAAGGCTGACTAGATCTCTTTATATACAGTTTTCTATTTATATTTTTACATACTTTGTGTAACACTTATATGTACTACACCACTAATTAATAACACAACCAAACCATCACGTGACTCATTCAGCTCAGTCTTGGCTGATTAGTATTCTCGGAAACTATGTGACAGTATAAAATAAAACTTTCTTTATTGAGAAAAAATACTGTACGTATTAAGAAGTTCTCGTGAGATTGTAGAGATGACAAAAATTGATTTTTCAATTCCATTGTCTTTAGATCGGTAACATGCGCAAGATTTTTGACTTAGTTTTGTAGCTAGCTACTATGAGTGAAAAGATCATCAACCTACAATGGCAAGGTAAAAAAGGTACTTGGTGAAGATGTATTTGACTAATTGAGAAATCTCGAGATCCATTAATTATATTTGATCTAATAAGAGGAATTGAATAATATAAAAATTGGTCGAATCCGATCATTAGGCCATGAGATATTTCAATCTGTACTCAGTTCGTCACAATTTCATTTTCTTCGTGATGCCCTTCATATTTATCATTCGAGCAATTTTTCAACATCAGCTTTCTCAATGAAAGGTATGATTATAACTCTTAAATGGTTTGTTATACTTCACAGTCGAATTGACAATTGTGTGCAGTATCAGTTTTATAGCAAGAAAAAAAAATTCTTTTGTTTCGATCGAAAATAGAAGTTTTATATTGACTACTTCGTCAAACTACCTTATATCGATATACTGAATATTTTTTAATTTACTTTTTAAATTTTATATGAACAAAAAAAATCATTATTTATCTATAATATTATACATATTGTATGTTCTGCATAAGACACACATTTTAATACACATCATGCATAAGAAATTTTAAATTTTGCAACCAATTAGGAAATGGCAAATAATTAATTTAAATTCAAACAATTCGTATCATTATTCCAAATAAAACTATACATATCTACTTATTTTTAATCGAAATTTCATGTCTAATTTAACTCATTTTACAAATGGACAGTATCATTATGCAGCGCAAAGCAATATTTCTAATAATGGTTGTGTTTACTAATCCAACCCTTTTTTTTTTTTCGAAGACAAGAATAAAGTATGCCTCTGTAAGTGTCAGGCACAAGCATGGACACTATAAAATTTATCGGTTTAAAGTAACCTTGTGCAGATATACCATACACTTCATTGCGTTATTAGTATTCGTGGATTCATCCCAACTTTTCTGGCAAGTTTATTTTCTCTGTATATCGGTCCGTTCGGAGCATTAGCATTGAAGATTTCATAAATAACCTCTCAAAAATGCCAGTATATCAATAATAGCCCTTTAAAAAGTCAAATCATGAACTCGTCTTTATTTAATGATCTTATCTCTATGAATAAGTCATCTAATAAGTATCTAAACAGCTAAGATTCTTCATTAAAAATTCATCAAAGAATTTTGCTCTGAGATAAACATAATTTACAATGAGATCCGAAAAACGAAATAAAATTTTAGTGAACTCCTATTACAACGTTTCGATTTTCACTTTAGACTATCCAGTGGATCGAATAGAAGCTAATAAAGGAACCTGACCCTCATTTTTCCCCATAAGACGCTTTTAAAGAAATATCGAATATGTAGTAACTATATGAGAGATAAGTTATCATTATGTAATTATATTATTGCGATAGAAAAAGTTCAATTGATTTCAATTGGATAATTGGACAATTCATTATTAGTCTCATCTCTTTAGTAAGAATAATTTGATCATAATTTCATATATATATATATACAGGTAGTAAAGAAACTTACAATTAACCTAGCAATTATATTGCACTATCCTTCAATACATTCTCTTATATGCTTTTCCAATCCTTCTTCTGACAATCATTGTTACAATAATACACTGATTTACAGTTTTTACATCTCATGCTACAATTCTTCATACATGTTTCACATACACCTTCCATGTATTCGGTGGTTCTTTCTGCAAAAAGAATTCGCGATCATAGAAAAGTAGCACTTTTTTTTGTATTTTTGATTCTTCTTCGCCTTCATCAGGGATGAGCATTGTTTTTCCCAACAGCAGGCACAAATTCCAGTTATTTCTCGATATTCGCGCCGGCTAAGTTCATTGGGAAATTTTTGCGGTGACTCTCCACAATAGACGCATTTCTTAAGCCATGCACACTATCGGATATATCATGTATATTGACATCTTAACGATAAAGAAAAGAAAAAAAAAAGAATACGTAAAGTTTTTGCAAAAGATATTCACATGCTAGCCACAACACTAGGGATGGTTAGGTTGGTTTAGGTTCGGTTTTTGGTTTGGAACCTTTAGGTTCCATTTCAAAAACCTAAGAACCTGGTTTTTAAAAAGTTCCAAAACCTGGTTCCTTTAAAATATAATTTGAAATATAAAATTAATTTATTTTTTTGTATTGATATAATAAGTTATCAATTGGCTCTTTAGTTAGTAATCTTTTATTTATTATGTTATTATATTTATTATATTAAATGATTTCAAAAACAAACCTAAGAATAGGGATAGTTAGGTTGGTTTAGGTTTAGTATTTGGTTTGAAACCTTTAGGTTATATTTCAAAAAGTTCCAAAACCTAGTTTCTTTAAAATATAATCAGAACTATAAAATTAATTTATATTTTTGTATTGATATAATAAGTTATTAATTGGCTCTTTAGATAGTTATCTTTTATTTATTATGTTATTATATTTATTATATTAAATGATTTCAAAAACAAACCTAAGAACCTAAAAACCTACTATAAACCTAAAAACCTATCATGAACCTAAAGACCTAGGTTCCAAAATTGGAACCTGGTTTTTAAAAACTAGGTTCCAAAAACTAGGTCTTAGGTTCCAAACCTAGAACCTTTACCAACCCTACACAACACTAACTCTAGTTGGAGAAAATAGTCAACATCACTGATTTCATAATAATTATTGAGGGACAAACGTAAGTCATGACCTATTAACCAAATAATGTACAGTATATAACAATGAATTATGTTTATTGAAACTAGAAAAATTTTTATCCAAAAATAGAAAATAAATAATTTATCCATAATAATATTGAATATTAATTTAAAAAAAATTTACCAATATTTAATTATATATAAAATCATGTTTAAAAAAATAAATTAATGGGGTATTTAATTTTGCATTCCCATACTGAGTTTTTTACGGGAAATATTATCATAAAATGTGATCCACTTATTTAACATTGCTTAATTAACATTGTTTATTAGCATAAAACAAACCACTACTTCTAGAATTTTTATTTTTGCGGGAATTTTAAAAAATTTTACCGTTGCTCTCTTAGATTGAATTAAAATTAATACGAACCTGACCAATTTCCAGTTATATTTTCAAATTAACAATAACAGAACCAAATATTCTTCTTTGGTATTACTAGGCTTTAACAATATGTATTTAAAGAACAATAAGAAAAGTGCGTTATGAAGGGCCAGAATTTGAGTGTACATTTAGAGAAGGTTTGCACTTATAGAGGGTGCAATTAGAGAGGTCTCACTGTATTCACACATCATATAAATTTTCATAAGTTCAGACGATTTTTTTTTATATAAAATCAATTTGAGGTCATAAAATTTAGGATCATATATGAGTCATCGGCTTTCAATGTTCAGTTAGCTTTCTGCATGCCAATCTATTTTGATGATAGTGCAACAATTAATTTTCCCTGTGTTTCATCACTTCCGTATTTGTCTAATTCTTTAAGTCACTTACCTTCCATAATTGTACTATCATAGTCATGTTAATCTTACCTTAGTAGTATTAGGCATTCTTGGTGGCCTAATTCGTTACGTTCAAAATAGAGCGTATACGCGATTACATTAATTTATAATCATTGCGCCTTGAATAAATGTGGAATCTACAGCGTAAGCGTTGAGATCCCATGTTGACAATCTGTAAAATTAGAATGTACATAAGGGTGTGTCTTCATCCTTAGATGAGGATAACATTCGCTCTCAAAAATTCCTCAATAAATAAAGGTCATGCCTAATAAATCATGAATATTCGAAAACCATAATTTATTACACAATTCATGTGACCCTTCTAACGTCAACCATCGGAGTTTAAACTTGGCATGACAATACCAAGCTCTCCCTTACGATGGTTACAATAGATTGTCCATAGACAGCATACAGAAAACCAACTGAACATTGAAAGCCCGATGGCAGGTTTTCTATTGACAGCATTCATATGAAATTAAGATAATTAAAAGAACAGGGACATCAGAATTTACCAATTCTATATTATATATATATATATATGCGAACTCACGATCTCGTTTAATTAATTGCATTATTCGGTAATGTAAACTGATCTCGCTTAATTGACAATTAATAAGGACATTTGTGCAGAATCGCATGTAAAAGAATTTATTTAAATGGGATGTTTATTACCATATCGTACTTTCGGGTCTGGTACGAAAATACCCAAGAAAAAAAATTTATAAAATATCGAGGATCGCATTGAAATTTTCAGATGCATATACGCTCATGGTCTGTTTAGGAGTTTAAAAAAGAAGATATTAATGAAATTCTTGGGGTACGACAATTTTTAATATTGAATGATGAATTAGTTTGACAAATAAAAAAAAACTGCCGCATCCGGTATATAAATGTTTCACAACGCTGTATTTCATTTGTTTATATATACTGCACAGTACGTTTTTATACGAAAATTATTAATTCTTTCTTTAAAATGATAAAATTACCGAACGAATGCCTTTTAATTATATTTAATAAACTTCGATGTGATTATAGTGATTATAAATACTTATTCTCATGTCTTCTTGTAAACCGTCACTGGTGCAGAATGATTGTGCCAATATTATGGCGAAAACCAAAAAATTACTTTAAAGATATAAGATTTATAAATATATGTCTCTCAAGATTAAACGCTGAAGAACAATCTCTATTAGTCCCTTTTAAAATTATCCTTCCAAATTATCAAAAACCTTTATTTGAATATACAAGTTATACTACTTCTGTTGATAATCGTTTGAGTTTTGGTGTCATAAATTGGCTTAATTATAAAGGTTATAAAGTTCATGACACTCTTGCAAATGCTATTAAATGTTCTTTAATCTCAATGTTTCTTCGAACAAGTAAGAAACTTAAATATTTAGAAATTAGTGGAATAATTTATAATAAAGTAATTAAATGTCTTTGTAGAAATACTACACTCACCTCTTTAAGACTTTCTCATAATTATTTGGATTCTGAAGAAATAAAATCATTAATTGAAACTATTGGCAAAATTTCTACTTTGGATTTCTTATATCTTTGTGGTAATCAATTTGATTCCATGAGAGGAAAAACATTAGTAGAAGCTCTTTATAAGAACACCACTCTAACTTCTATATATATTGGTAATAATAACCTTGGAACTATCGGTGATGCATTAGCAAATACTCTTAGTATAAATACTTTTATGACTTTTTTAAGTCTTAGCTATAATCATATAGATATTGAAGGAGGAAAGGCATTAGCAAAAGCACTTCACATAAACACTACCCTAACTTCTTTAGATCTTAGCGATAATAATATTGGTAATGAAGGTGGAAAAGCATTAGCCGAAGCACTTTATGTAAATACTACTCTAACATCTTTAAATATTTGTAGAAATTGTATTGGTATTGAAGGAGGAAAAGCATTAGCAAAAGCTCTTTATGTAAACACCACATTAACTTCTTTAGATCTTTGCAGTAATAATATTGGTAATGAAGGTGGAAAAGCATTAGCAAAGACACTTCATATGAATACTATTCTTACTTCTTTATACCTTAACAATAATAGTATTGGTACTGGAAGCACTTCATGTAAACGCTACTCTAACTTCTTTAGATCTTAGCTGTAATAATTTGGGTATTGAGGAAGCAAAAGTAATAGCAAAAGCACTTTATCAAAATGCTACCCTGACTTATTTAGACCTTTCTTATAATCAACTTACTTCTGAAGGAGGAAAGGCGTTGGTAGAGGCTCTTCGTAAAAATACTTTAATTTACTTGGATCTTTATAATAATCAAATTAGTTATGAAGACCAAAGAATATTTAGAGAAACCCGTCGCATAAATTATTGAAATATATATTATCAAAATTTTTTATATAAATTTAATTCCTTATGTAAATCTTTATACAATAATAAAAGATTTACAGTAATAAATAAACATATACTGCAGTAATTAATATTATTGTTATCAAATTATGTTTGGTGGCTTCGTCGCCCAGGGTTACGTCATAGCCGGTTCTGAGAATCGAATTTCCAATTGGTTTAACCCAAATCTCTTCGGCTCTTATGCATGAAATGTAAATTACGTTAAATGTCAACAAAAAACAGGTATCAAACTATATCCCAGTTAAACGAAAAAACGCAATACAGTATAACCTCAATATAACAAATACATATTAACGAAGTTCTATGTTTAAATTTTAGATATAAAATGAAGTTTTGGAAATTTGGTACTAATAGCTCGATGCCTTCGTTATTTCGTTAGATTGTATAGCATTATGGTAATAAATTTTTGTCGCGGTTGACGGCTGATGCTAGAAATTAGGGACCTCGATTCAAAAATATAAACCCTACCAAAATCCACTCATACTCTCTTGTTATAAAAATTGATTTTGGGTCAAAATCCCGAACAATGGATCCCCTAAAGAACGTAGTACCGACAAAGTTAGCCGGCACTAGCCATAATGCTGGCCAATTTAGTCGGTATTATGTTCTTTCGATAATCTGTTGTTCGGGATTTTGACCCAAAATCATAAAAATTAACCCTAAACTCTAAGCTAAAAAAAAAAAAAAAATGCACCCCAAAATTTTTGAAGATATATTAATAAAATAATTAAAATTTCTAGCTTCAGCCAGGACAATTTTTTTTAGAGTTTTTCTAGGCGTCTCTGGTAGAGATATATAAACTATATATCTCTGGCCTATAAACCAATTAAAATGAAGGAAAGTCACGTGACTGGTTTTTCTAGAATCGTGTTCACTCCGATTGGTCGGATTTATTTGTACACCC